GGGGGGTGGCAGATTTGACCCCTTAACGTGCGTGGTCCTTTCGTCGTTTAACAATTTCTATCTTTGATTTTGTAACAGTTTTCAATTTACAATTAAACCAATATGATTGATTAAATGTTAAAGATGGATCATACCGATAGAGTGAAAATGCTCCTACACGACAATTACCCATAGATAAACCAGCAATAAATAAATCTTCATCATCGCCATAAGGATCATACATTGTTAATGCAATAAGATATCTTGCATCATCTGATACTATTTTTTTAAATAGATTTAAAATAGCTGTAACACATAGTTGCGAACGTTTTGGTTTTTCACTATAACGTGTACGAAGATTAAAAATACGACTTTTACCATTAATTAAATTCATTGTACCTATTTTTTAAATTAGAGAAAAATCTAATCAAAGACACTATAAATGATGATAACTAAATTACATGTCCATTGATTTTTGTTATCATTCCATTGAATACTAATGAATAGATTGATCAATTTGACTTCCATTTGAAAAAAACGTTGAGTATAATCAATTAAACTATCAATATCAAATATTGTATTATCAATTTGTCCGAATACTGTTAGATAAATTGATTTCCTATGACAAGATGATTTTGTATGAAGAGTTCGAGATAGTTGAAGAAATTCCATATAAGTTTGTCCTTTTTCTTTATACTGTGGAAGCCAATCTGATGGTTTCTTTGGTAAAGGTAAACTATCAAATGTTTGACAAGAATCTTTCGTAAACACAGAATTTGTACAATTATCATCAAATTTTCCTAAAGTATTTTCAATATCTAACTTTCTTGGCATTTTAAAACCATGAGCATGCGACGGAGATTTTTGTCCAAGTAAGGTCGACATGAAATTGTGAAGACAGGGATATTAAATCTAAAAAATAAATATTGATGAGATGGTAAACAGGTGGAGAAGACTTCAATAGCAAGAAAAGTCTCCCTAACCCAATTGAGTAAAATGTAATTCGAACAAGCAAAGTGAGCTCATTGCTTTTTTATTCGGAAGATAGATTGAACAGAACTCCAGGTGGGACAGAATAGCTTGATCATCCCATCCCATCCTGCGGAAATCTATAGTAATACACTTAACAAAAAAATTCATTCGAAAAAGAAAACTGCAAAGAATATATTCATGTATATATTGGATTTTTTCTTAATAAATGTATAAATTTGAACTGAGCAGACAGTAATGTATCGACTGTTTGAGTTTCACTTAAAACAAACTTAAGCTTTAAACAATTATCATCAGAAGTCAATGATAGAGAAAAAACCATTTACAACAACAATAGAGAAAAAAAAGAGAAATGACGATTGAATTGTGCAATTTAATGAGTCATTTTCTTCATTTCTGTTCTTCTCTGTCATGTACATCCAGATGTGTTATTTTAATCCACTTTTTTTCTTCGTGCACGTTGTTTCACTTTTGCTGGTTCGGTAAACATCACTTTTTTTCTCCTCTTAAATTTCTCTTTCTTCAGTATTAATATACATTTGACTCTCTCTCTCGGACAAAAAAAGTTCCTTTTTTCGACTCATCTTTTCATCACCTAATACGCTGTATTAAAAAAACAAAATACACTACAAGATGCAGCGTGAAAAGTTCTACAATCTACAAAGCAGGGCGTGGGTGGATGTGCGGGTGAGTGCGGATAAAAAAATATTCACACTCGCCCACACACTCACGCCCTCCCACAAACAACAAAAAAACCTATTCAAAACTCTAATCTGTAATGATTTAGTACTGACGCTGGAACCTCTCCAAATGTCAAATAGCTTTTCGAACGAGACGGTGTTCATTTGATGAATGCTAAAGAGTAATAGACACGTCTAGAATGGTTTGCTTTTTCAGACCTTCGTTCTTGAGATATCGAAATTTTACTAGGTTAGCTATGGTTCCCCTCATGTCACATGAAAAATTAACTTCCTACTTCAAATTTTGCACAAACAAAGTTCTAGATGAGATTAGTTAATTATGGAACTAGTATTTCCTTTGTGGAGCTGTAATTATATAAATAAAATTTGCTTTTACATATGAGAAAATTTCGAATATTGGATATCTTAGGATAAGAGATACTGGAAAAGTTTGAAGGCTAAAGTTGATTTTGCACTTGATTTGAGAAAGATG